CGGCTAGGATCGCCCGAACCAGTTGATTTGGTGATTCGGCCGTAGTGCTGTTACTGGGAAGCAGTTACATTCGGTTCATACTGTGGCAAATAATGCTGATGCATTATTTTATAAAATTTTGCCAGGTGAATGAAACACTCAACAATCCACCGGCTCCTCGAGCAGCAGCACGTGGTGGTAACGAAAGAGCTTCGGCATCATCGTTTGGCAGTTTAGCAGCATTGAGTGGAGCAGGCACGGACAGCGCTGAACTTGGGGCTCTGGGCAACCTGGATCGCAATCAACTTATGCAGCTTCTTTCGTTCATGAATCACTCCGGAGGAGGAAGTGCATCGAGCAGCGATACGGCCGGCCTGTTACCGCATCTTCCAGTTCTCACTGATGCTCCTCATGCGTAGGTTTCTTCTTTTGGTATAGCCGTTCTCTCTGAAAGGTGATTTTGCTGAGTGCACGACTTGCTAAGTTACTTTTCAGGTGCTACTCTGACTTAATTTACAGTTATTCCCATAACCTCTGGAGTCAGATTTATTTTTTCAAGAAGAGAGGGAAAACATTTTTGGAGTTAATAACTAATTTTTTAATGTATTGGGGTGTTCGGAAGGTTTTCCTGATTATTAAAATTGAAGTCCTGGATGTAGATGTCACAACTTAAGCAGTTTGCATATCAGTAAAGCTGACAGGAAGGGCTGAAGCTCCCGTGATTTTCTGGGGCCTTATCAATTGTGCTTTCCTGGTCATATGTCTTTTAGCTCCCTGTCCTCTCTTGCCTTAATCTAAATATATTTTCATAGTAGAGGAAGGAGTTTTACGAAATTCGTCAGAATTCTCTTTAATGTTACAGAAAAATATTATTTGTGTGTAATTGTTTTCAAATCCTTATATAGAGACAGTTGTAAGATTAATAGCAGGGCCAAACTGTATTTCAGAGGAGGATCGGAAGGAAGTGGAGCGGCTTCAACTCAGGTAGCTACACCATCCAATACTCCTTCGAATGGGACCGTTTCCGGAGGTCCATCAAACAATGCAGTGCGACTATCACAGCTCAAAGAAATTATCGCAAGTATAACTCCACCGGATGCAGCCACGAAAAAACGTAACCTTGTTGAATTTCGATAGCTTATCATTCGTTACTTTGTTATGCGTTTTTACATAGTATGCAAAAACACATTGTGACGACCCTGGTGTGTGTGTGTATGTGTGTGCGCGTCTGTCCGGATATTTCAACTCGGCACCCAAGCAAGCTCCGGCGCCAAAATTTTGGGAGTGGGTTCCCCGACCAAGTGCCACCCCAGGACCGCGGTACCAACTCTCAAGCACATCTAGGCCCCGCGTACGAGCGCCTCAAAGTTGTGGCGGGAAAATCGCCAACTGGAGAACTAGAAAAGCTAGAAATCTGAAATTTCGGGATTATGTTTCCAGTCCAAGTAGAACTCAAAGATTT